GATGCACAGTTGCATGCTTTGCGGAAGTGTTTTATCGACTAAACGTGACGCACGTATACATTCTCCTCCCCCTTGACGTCGGTCACAATCATTTTAATTTATACTTGACCTTTGCAGTTTATATAAACCACACATCTCACATATTTCAACAGGGTATCTTGCTTTATTATTATTTATTACTAATTTCTTAAATAACCAAACTTCAACAACTTAAGGGCAGATCCTTTGAGCGTTGCTGATGACGCAGTGAAGTGACGCTCGAGTGGTCAAGTATTCCAAAGTATAAAAAACTTTAAATTCGATTCCTCCATCCTCATTTTCTTTCCTTGCAGCCTTCCCTCGCATCCTGCAGGGGGTGGAGCTGAGACGCAAGGAAAGGAAGCGAGGAAAGGAAACGAGGATGCACAAATAAGAATTGAGAAGCACCCCTGTTCGAGCGAGCAAAAGCAGCAGGCGAGAGCAGCGCGAGCGCGTGGGGAATGATCATGCAGTTTTTGAATGAGCTCGCGAGTTCCCGTTTCCTCGCGTGTAGATCTGTTATCCTCTCGCAGAAGTCATTTACCGCGCGCGCCAGCATCAGTTGTGCGCTCGGTTATTATTGGCATTTATTTGCAACAAGGACAAGTGCAAGTGGAGGTCTGTGCTTGTATATTGAAGGCTGATCAAAGTAGAGTTGAGTTGAGTTTGACTGGCAGACAGAAAGTCTGGTTATATACAAAAACATTTTTACACGAATGTGCGTGTTTTTCTTAGAACATGGCATGTGCATGTTACTGTATGAGGGATGTCTGATGGTAGTAGCCTGATTAATTTACTAACATTGTATATGATTTGTTTGTCTTGAATTCTGCATCACAGACATTAAATCACACTGATTGTACGATCCAATAAATACTCAGATTTTTTTTTAATTAGATTGGCTATAACTGTATTTAAGATAATGCTGTTAATGTAGCTGCATATACTGTATAGTGTTATAGTAATGAAGTATGTACATCTACTGAACCCTTAATCACATAGCTAAATAAACTGAATAGCTATCTTCATGTGAACAATACAGCAAAAGACAGATTTTGTATGAATTACATTATATTTGTGGTGAAAACACAATCAACTGGTTGGCTTGTACTTTCACAACATATTGAAAAAAAAAGTAAAAGTAATATTTATTTATTTTTAAAAAACTTACATAGAATTCCCTTATAATTTTCTTTTTTTCTTTCTTTCTTTCTTTCTTTATTTATTTAAACAGGAAAAGATTAAGAGCAATCGGGCCTGACTCAGTATAAAACTGATTTTCAGCAGGTTCCTGTTCTGCAGAACATGAATACCTCAAACACAACAGAACTCCAAGACCATACAATAACAAACACACAACAAGCACACAAACCACGATAGTAAACATGCATCAGCAGGAGGCCATAAAGCCATCTCAGTGGTCACAGATATACCTGTCCATCAGATGGCGAGCAAAAGTTTGTTTAAATAGTCTTATTGATGTTATAGATCTGATGTGCTGTGGAGTCTCATTCCAGGCTCTAGTGAGCAAATTAAAGAAAGATCTCTGTCCATAGCAGTTCCTAAAAGCCGGTATAGGGAGAAGTCCATTTGCAACAGATCTCGTAGTGCGTACGAGCCTTGAACTGAGTTTTGGAGCCAGCGCAGTCAATCCCGCAGTAGTATGACCATTTAAAATCTGATAAAAAATGTTCAAACCATGGCTTATTCTATAGTTCTGAAATGTCAAGGCATTACTCAAAGATAGTGCAACACAGTGGTGAGTCCAGCCTGAAAGCCTGTTGTGGATCTTATAGGCTCTATTGTAGAGTCTCGCAACAGGTTCAAGTATCTAATTTGTTGTGAGTGACCAAACAGGTAAACAATACGACAGAGTGGACAATATAATGGCATGAAGATATGTTTTAGAAACAGAATGCAGTAGATATGGTCTAATTTTACTATAAACAAATAACTTTTGGTTTAACTTTCTGATTAAAATTTGGACATGGTCACGATAAGTAAGATGTGAGTCAAGAGAGACTCCCAAATACTTATACGTGGATACAATTGAAAGTTTTTGATTAGAAAAGGTGATGAAATTTGATATAGACAGTTGTTTCCTAGATGAATAGAAATACATACATTCTGTTTTCTTAGTATTCAGTGTTAAATGGTTATCCTGGAGCCAATCATGTAGATGCTGTAGGTCTAAGTTAAGTTTGTAATTAATTGTATCAATATCTGAGCCAGACAAAAAAATGACAGTGTCATCAGCATATAATAAAGTACTAGAAACATCAAACACAGTAGGAAGATCATTAATGTACATAAGGAAAAGCAAAGGACCTAAGATGCTGCCCTGTGGAACTCCCATAGAACACACTCGTGACTGTGATGTTACTGAGCCGATTCTTACAGTCTGAGATCTGTCACTTAAATATGATTTAAACATATCTATTGTAGAGGAGGACAAATGAAAAGAAAAAAGTTTATTTAACAAAATTTGATGATTGACTGTATCGAAGGCTTTTCGAAAGTCTATGTATATAACTCCAGTAACCTGACCTTTATTTAAAGACGCCCGTATCTGCTCAGTAAAAAGTAGCAAAGCCGACATAGTCGACAGCAGTGGTCGAAAACCATACTGACAATCACTGAGCAGGTTATTGTATTCAAGGTGATTAATTCATTGATTATATAATGTTTTTTCAAGTAACTTAGAAACAGTTGGATCCTCAGACTTAAGAATCGGGGTGATCTGGGCTGTTTTCCACATGGCAGGAAAAACTGATTGCCTAATACACAGATTAACTAAATGATGGAAGAGCGGAATAAGTGTGAGTTTTAAGAAAAATCATATTTGAATTATTTGCATCACAAGCATGAGAAGCATTCAAAGAACCCAAAATGTTAGTTATATCACTTTGTGCAATTTCAGAAAAGGAGAATTGCTGAGATGCTGCCGGTACTGATGGGAGAAACTGAGGAACATGAATCCAGAAGATAACCTCTGAACAGATACAACAAAATACTCGTTGAAAGAATTAGCAATTTTATCATGATCATTGAGAAGAGTACCATTTATGGATAGTTGTAAACTGTTATTATTTTTTAATTTATTTTCACCAGTTATAGATTTAATTGTTTTCCATAATGTTCTTGGGTTGGAAACCGTTCGATTAATTTGATTTTCAAAATATAGCTGTTTTGCTTTGAATAATTCAAAATTGCACTTATTTCTGAACTGTGTGAAAATATGCTTAGCCTCAGGTGTTTTTAATGATCTGTATGCTTTCAAATAGGTGGCCTTCTTTTTTAAAAGCTGCATAATGTCCGGAGTTACCCAAGGTATTGTATTTTGCCTGATATATATTTTACAAGTAGTAGTACATTTTTGACGTATTGTCTCCACTCTTTTATGAAAATTTGATAGAACATGATCAGGATCTTGCAAAGACATCTCATTACTCCAATCAGTATCAGCAAATTCAGCATTAAACTGAGACAATTTTGAATTTGGTACTTTTTTAATGTAACTATTTTTATGAGATTTTGGCTGTTTAAGACATTTCCTAATGGCATATATTAGTGAATGATCAGAAACTGCTGTATTTATTACTCCAGATATACTATAGAAGGTTGATTAGTAAAGATGAGGTCCAAAATAGAATTTCGTGTTTTGCCAAATCTGGTGGGATCTTTGATTAGTTGATGAAGACCATGTTTTATGGCAGTTGCTTTCAAAAGTTTAGATGAATTATCGATCCAATTCAAATTAATGTCACCTAGAATAACAAGCTCCTTAGTTTTTACAGATTTTATTAAGTCAGAAAGCTGCAGTAAATATGCAGTTGGACAAACATTTGGAGGCTTGTATGTGACAATAATAGTAACTTTGAGGGCAATAGTAAGAGTTGATTTGTACAGTGAACAACTAATTGAAGTGACTCAGAAATTGTTGATAGTTTTACTACAGAATGTGCATATCTATTATTTACATAAAGAGCAACACCGCCACCAATTCTATCAGTCCTGTCTCTGCGATACAATGAATAATCTTCAATCGAGAGAAAGGAATCAGATATAGTAGGGGACAGCCATGATTCAGATATTGCCATAACATGAGCCTTAGAGCAGCCTTAGAGCCATTTATGAAAAATAATCAATAAATGACATCCCCAGAAGTCCCTGCATGACACATCACATTTTCTTATTATTTTTGTTATCATTTATGCATATTATGCTTTTGTATGTATTACATGCCATGCTGTTAATGTTTATAGCATTGCTTATGGTTGTGTGTGTTACTGTGATGATGTTCTATATTTGTATAGCAACACTGTGCGCTGGCTAAACATGGATATAGCTACTGTTTATAGAAAGGACTAATTTGATGAAATGTTATCATATGTATTATTATAGTGGTTATTAGTATATTTAAAAAGTATAAAGTAAAAAGTAAATTTTGGGCATCAGTTATTAAATATATTATTATGAATTACACCACCATGGCGTCCAGTTTCTGGCAACCTCAGCTGCCATATTTCCCCGTAAATTGAACAGGATTGTTTCATAGAAAACATTATGTGTTCAAACGATACAAGCCTACATAAGTATTCTGTAATACAAATGACCTATACGTAGCCTATGATGTATTTGTAGCGCTGCAATTCTAATTGAGCTATTCTAACAAACGTAGTATAGCTATACAATGTTAGATTTTAGACAAAGCGCACGTTCCTCGTCCAGCAGTGACAGATGAAGGAAGGTGGCTCCACCCCTGTACTAATATCTCCCTTCTGAGAGCGCATACTGACTGAAGAGATGTGCTGCACGAGCCACAATTAACCTACGCGCGCGACACATCTATCCACACATGCTCTGAGAGCAAACCACGTCACAATCGTGCAAGTTTAAACGAAAAAATGGTTCCATTATGCATTACATTTGTTGAGCACAAGTGCATAAAGACCAACGGATGGGAGATTATATGCACTTCGTGGCGCACTGTCGCTGGAGGAAACTTTCACGCGCTCGGTCTGATCACCGGATCCTCTTAGAGGGAATGAGACGAGTGAAGTCAGGAAAGTTAGACTGAAGGAAAATGTCGGCGACACGTGCCTCACCTTTTTCGAACAAAACCAGCCAATATGAGGACGCGGTCGAGGGCAACTGGCACCTTCTCTTTGGTTTATCCTTCGCCATCGCCACCGTCACTTGCCTGGGAGGTTTGTACTCGCTTATGTCGCTGCTCAGGATGAGGACTAAGTCTTCCCTATGTCTGATAGTAGCTTCTTTATCCATAGACGACCTGATCAGCGTCGTGCCGCTCACGCTCTTCATGATCTTGCAATGGAGGAGCGGAGACGCAAACCGGCCGGGCGCTATGTGCACCCTGTCCGGAATCCTGTATGTTTTCCAAGGATTGTCAAGCAATATGAAAGCCTGTCTCTTAGTTGCTTACACTTTCTACGTGACAAAGCGCTTTGGAGTGTATCAAACCCATAACCGACCTCTCTGGGTGTTTGTGGCGGTGGTGGCGGTTTGGACGGTGAGTCTCACGGTCAGCGTCCTGCCTGTGTGCGGCTGGGGTCGCTTCGCCCCCGCTTCTCTCGGTTGTCTCCCGGAGAACGACAGCCTGTACGTGCTGCTTCTGTTCTCTGTTTACTCACTGTGTTTCTGTGGGCTGGTTATTTGTTCGGTTCCTCTCTTCTGCCAGCTCATGTGCTCCACGGAAGCCCTGAGAACATTTTACCCGAGCTATTTTGAAATTGCCGGGTCGGCGCCGCTGTGTGAGATCCCCTCTCTGTCACGGGATAGCTTGGATAAAAGTTTGGGAGCCTACAATGAATTCAACTCGAACATTGCCAGTTTTAAGAACAAAACGGAGACGTATTCACTGTCATATTCTCCAGCAACCGGTCATTTCCAGAAAGATGGAGCTCAGAGTGCACGTTATTCCCCAGTGTTTTTCTCTCAAAAGCGCTTCTCGATGATTCTTGCCATGGCTCGAATGGTTCTGTGGATGCCAATGATGGTGAGAGCTAAAAGCAATGTTCGGACATGTTCACTTGAAAAAACATTTAATTGACTTCCAAAGTGTCTCAAAATATTGACAAAAATTGCATTATAGCCTATAGTAAAGTATTGTTACACTGCTAAAACGAAACGGTAGCCTACAGAAGGCCACATTTTGGGTTCCTCTAGACTAGACAAATAATCGGGGTTGACCAACTTTTTTTATGATGTTCACACATAGTATTTAATATTTGGTCTACTGATAAATCCCATCCCATTAGTAGTAAAGTATGGATTATTTTTTATTTCATGTACTTATTTACTTATTTAATTTCTAGAGAAACTACTCAGACTTTTACATAGCACAACAGCTTTAAATAAATATAATGGAATAATAAATAATATTATTTTTTGTCAGTATCATAATGCATGTTATGGTTTTTAGTCTAATGATTGTTAATTATTGTTACGAAAAGCTTGAAATAAAACAAAATTTAAACATTGATTCTTCGTATCAGGTATTAGACAAAAAACAATCACCCTATCTTTGGATTTCTACTTCAGACTGCTATACTGATGGAACAACTCTGGAGAACCTCAACCTAGCATTGTATACTCAAGCAACTTCAATAAATATTTTAAGTCCCTCAGAGCCTTTCCAGGCCCCTTACAATGTAGCTACTAGAAGAACCATTGATAACCGGGTTTAGAGTTCTAGCAGGAATTTATGGGTTTCATCATGTAAGTTCCTCAGAAAGCTGGCCTTTTAAAGAGTGCCTTTAGATTCTCATAAAAGTTCTGCTATTTTGGGAATCTGAGAAACCCCATAAAGTGCCTCAGATATCTTTTCATATTCACAATGCGTAAGAAAAACCTTTCACCAGCTTAAAACGTGTTGTTGAACTGGATTCATGGATATATTTTTATATTTAACCTGTCACTGTAAATGTTTATTTTCACTTATTTTTCTCTCTTCATTATTATTTGGTTTGTTCAAAAATGCTGGAATGATTGGTTATTCACCTTTATTTTTTCCACTGGCATACATTACCCTTGCAGACCCAGATCCTGGTGAGTCACGCTGTTCACATGCACAGCTCGTCCTTGGAGACTTTCTGTTTTTTCCTGACCTTGCTCTCCACGGCGGTCACCCCTGTGTTCGTGTTTTCGGAACGCTGGATCCATCTGCCTTGTGGCTGCTTCATCAACTGTCGCCAAGGCTTAAGTTCTGAGCTTTCCACCGGTTGGTAAACTGATAAAATACTCCATCAACCTGACATATTTTTGTTGATTATATTTATTGGTTCATAAAAAGAACCAGGTGGTTTATTTTAAACAATCCATATTAAAATACCTTAGGTTGTTCAAATTATGAATATGTATATGTGTGTGTGTGTGTGTATATATACATATATATATATAATCTCATTTATGTGCCTGTGAGAAACAAAACAAAATTACCTTTCCACATTGCCTTTATCATCGATCTGTTTATTACAGCGAAGAAAAGGAGATTTGAATTCAACCTCTCCTTCCAGCAAGGCTATGGTATTTACAAGATCTCCCACGGCAAGTCACCATCCATCGAGAAACCCTCTTTTAACAGTTTATACAGCTGCGATTTCTCTGAAAGCAGAGCCGCAGTGGTGGACAGCGGTCATATTGGTAATTTCAGCACCGCGGCAGCAGAGGACAGCTCCCTCCACAGCGAGCTGCTGCTCGAGGAGAGAGTGGATAGCCAGCCTCAGAGCTCCACAGAAAGGGACAGGCCATGCAATGTCTCACCTCAGGTTTCAACCTGCGATGGTGAGGATCTTCACCTCGACAACTTGTCAGTATTTGACATTCCAGAGAGGAGGCTGTCCCACGAGGAGTGTCGTAAAATAGAGTTGACTGACTGGGAGTGGTGCAGGAGTAAATCAGAAAGGACTCCCAGACAGGTAAGATGACACTTAAATTGACAATAAATTTAAGGGGTGCAGTTACTTCATTTTTGTTGTCAGGTAACAAGAAAACTATAGGAACAGGATATTATATCACAGAGTGGACCTCTGAAGACCCACATTCTTGAAAATATCAGATAATTTTATCTATGACATTGCAGAATATTCCAGTTTTTTTTTTTCTTTAATAGTAACAAGAACTTTTTAGACTCATTAAATCAAAACCTTCTTCAAGAATGGTATGTTTTTCAAAACCATTAATACTTTTCTAATAATATTGCAAAAGGATTTTAAGATCTCTAACATCTCGATCTCGATCTTTAACATCTCTGACATCCCAATTTCTCAACTTTGATTTAATTACTATTAATTGTTACCTAATTATTTAATTAATTGTTGCCCTTACTTTATTAATTGCTTACAGTTGAATGTCATATGTGTTCAAAAAAGTTTAAAGTCTGCATGAAAATCTATTTTGTAAACGCATGTTATCCACATTTTTTTAATGTAAAAGTGGATGCAGACATTTTTTTTTTTATATGAATGTGCAAGGCTTCTGGTGTCAGCCATTTTCTGTTATTTTAGCTGTTCAAAAACAGCTAAAATAAAAACGATATAAATACTGTTCGTTTTCTCACACAAACCACTCGTTTCGTGTCTTAGGCCATCAATGTGTACTTACATTTATGAGTCATTAAATCATGTTTAATTTGGCCTTCTCTGTGCATGCTCTTTGAGGAAGTGACCATAGACCTGCATTATATGACTGACAGACAAGAACGGTTTGACCTAAAAATATCAAAATTGAAACTACTGCGGAAACAAAGACACCTACATCTTGGATGCCCTTGAGGTAAGCTAAAACATACCAAAAATTAATTTCAAAGTGAACTATCCCTTTAAGTGTAAAATACCGAACTTGTCCTTTAAGGCTGCATTTACACTGCAAGTCTTAAAGGGGTCATATAATGCCATTTTTGTACAAGCTAATATGATTCTTTAGGGTCTAAATTAAAAGTTTGTAATATACTTTAATTAAAAATTCTCATTAGTATTGTAAGAAAACACTTATTTTACCTGGTCAAAAACAGCTCTGTTTTCAGCACGCCGTTTCAGTGCATATGACTTTAAATGATAATGAGCTTTGCTCACCCCGCCCCTCTGTTCTGTGCGTACACCATTTGTAACTCAATAACACAATAACCATAACGCGTTGTTCAGTATAAACGTGGGATTATGAATTATATTGAGAACGTCATACATAGAAAACATGCCGTAATGTACCCTGAGTGTAAACCTTAGACGCATTCATTGTGAAGCGTGCAGCTAGTGATTTGCAAAGATTAATATATTAATATAAAGTTTAATAAAACGTTACACTCACTTCCGTTCTTCTGGAGATTCAGCAGGAACACGAATATCAGGTACCGATCCTTTTTTCATGAGCAGCTTCTTAGCAAATCCAGCTTTATACTGATCCTCGTCTATAAAGCAGTCTGGTGTGTGAAATGATTCGCGCAAACATGAAAGCATTGACGTTGCTCGTGGGGAATATTCCCTTCGAAAACAAACACAGCCACTGCGTCTTCAGCGGTTCGGATTTAGGAACATTAAAATGACTGCTGTGTTCGTTATTACACCCAAGAACAGAACACCACAATCGCTTAGACGCCATTCTGCTCATAGACAGTGCTCCAGCATATCAACAATGACTGCGCCGGTCCGCGCCGCGCAGACTATGATTGACAGCTCCCTCATGAGCGAGGGCGGGTCTGTGTTGAAACTAGGGCTGACTTCTAATAGTCGAGGATTCGACGATTCGATTCGGAGAGGTCTGATTCGACTATGAACCTCATAGTCGAATAGTAGGTGTGACGGTTATTATATAACCGTGAGACCGACTGTTATAGTTGAACACCATCATAAGAACTCTATAACCGCCAAAACCGTGCTATTCAAATATTTTTTACAAACATTTTTTATCATAGAGAATGTTTAAATACTAATATCATCTTACGAGGGAAGCGGAGGCGGAGTTAGTGGTGTGTCGGAGGCTGAGTGCTGGAGATGATTCGGGAGAGGTCTGCAGTGTTTCCGCTACATTCATTCTGCCGTGGCGGGCCGCCACACCTAAAATCATCCCGCCACGGCTGCAGCTTCTCGGTCCGATATTGTATGTGTTATTGTTAAGCCCCACTAAAGGCATACAAAACATTGTAAAGCACCATAAAGTTTTCGCACTATATTCCAAGACTTCTAAAGTCATTCAATAGCATAATGTGAGGTAAAAATGTATATTTAAGTCGTTAAGTTAAAGTTAATGGAAACTCATCTCTCCTCAGTCATTCTCCATTCAGCATTCAAACAGCACGTCACGTTCGGGTACGACAGTAACACGACGACACTCTCTTCAAGATCAATGTTCCCATTATTATACTTTATTTGTAAATAAAGATCTATAGTTTGCATAAAATTACCTTATCTTGCTAGAGTTTATAGCGCTTTCTAAATCATATTCCTTTCTCCCGGGTGTCTGTTACTACAGCACTAGAGTAGAGAGCACTATGAATTGTTCTTCATGCGCACTGTAAGTTAACTGAAATTTAAAACTGTTAAAAGAAAAGGCTCAATAAACTGTTGCATAGATATAATACATTAAGCATAGATAGATATAATCTCTTCGCTTTGAACTTTTCAATGCGAAGCGCTGCACGCTGTGACTTCGCGTTGCTTCAAGTGCATCATTCTGCGCACGGGATGCGCATAATCGCTTTGCCGCTCTTATTGGCGCCTTTCATGTTATAATGCTTAGGGGAAGTTTAAACACCTGGGATAAGGGGGCGTGGCCAGTGGGAATATCACTCATGGGCCACGCCCCCTCCCCTAGCGAAATGGGCCTGCCACCACGGCTGGAAAAAATCCTAGAGGAAACACTGGGTCTGTGCACCTTTACCGATCAGAGCGCGCGCTGACACGGAGTAAAGCCTTGTTTATACTCGACGCGTCCGCACGAGCGCTAAGGTGCGCACGGCAAAGAATGACGCGTTGGGTGCGCAAGACCGGCAAGACCCCATTTCGCTTAGCTGTGTACTGTGCACAGCTTTTTTTGTAACCGCGCGCGACGCCGCATCCGAGGATGAACAACTTCAAGCCGAATCTGCCCGAGCATGTAGGCTACGTCTCGCCGCACCGGCTCGCAGTTTGCGCGTCTAAATTGCAAAGTTCATTGCAAAGTTTTTTTGTTAAGGTTTTGTTTACTGTGTGTGATTTATTTAAAACAAAGCATGTTCATTGCAACGTTTTTTTTGTTGTTGTTAAGGATTCATTTAATGGAAAGCACATTCACTTCTAGTTGTCTTGCTGTTCATTTTAAATAAACGTAGAGCGAGTTGTCCTATAACAGACGAACAGTTATTCAACCGAACGTCTAGCTGCTATCTAAAAAGAAAAAAAAAAAAAAAAAAAAAAAAAAGGTTCGACTATCAGTCGACTACGGCAAAATCTAACGAATCAGATTAGACTATGAAAATCCTTAGTCGAAAACAGCCCTAGTTGAAACGCTGCTGTCAATCAACAATCGTGGGAGGGGCGTGCGAGCTTGTGACGTCACAGGCTCGAACGGCTCGATTTGAGGCAGGGGAAAACATATAAGGAGATTAAAACAAAACCACTGGATGGATTTTTATCATTATATGATGGTTGTGTACAGACACTGCCAACACACATTTCAGTACAATCAACTTGTAAAAGTGCATGTACCATTATATGACCCCTTTAATGAACAGATCCGATCTTTTGACCATATCCGATTTTTTGCCCCGCCTGTTTACATTCACTTTTGAAAATGACCTTTCATGTAGTGTGAAACATAGCTCTAAGTGAATAAAAACATCCTGCAAAGTTTTAAATCTGAAAGTGCACCGTATATAAAGTTATTGTCTTTCAAAAGTAAGAGTCGACTCTGAGTCAATGAAATTAATTGTTTTTCAAACGAGTCATAAGCCGTTTCGTGATGATGTCAAAACGAAACATTAGCATATTGCCCACCCACTTATAGCATGCGCAGACACCGGGGAAAACTTGAACCCTCAAACACTTCAGCTGATTCCTGTGGATACTGGATAGCATCATGTTGAGAAGACGGCGCTGTGCTCTACAATGTGAAGGTAAAGCCAGTTATTTTTCACTGCCCAAGGATGAGCATGTGAAGTATCAGTGGTTAAAATTCATCTTTACCATGATATCACAGCAGTATAATCCTAAACTTTTGCTGTGTTCCCTTTATTTTACTGACAACTGCTTCTCAAATCTCGGAGTTCAATGCAGGATTCGCAAACCGCTTGCTCTTGAAAGATTGTGTTAAAAAAAACGTAGTTTTGAGTTTTATATTGTGTAGGTCTCCTGCTAACTGGTCAACTCAGGTTATCACTGTCTTACTGAAATACCTCTGCTAATCAGTTGTGGGCCACTATTACCTATAACTGTCTTTTAATGCAGATAATACGTTACTTTGAGGAAATATTTGGTTTACCAACGAGCTCGGCTAATGTATACATTGCACATGCACTGTTATTGATACAGTTTCCAAGTGTTCACCGTGTCCGCAATATATTAGAAAAATACTCGGTAAATAAATTAGTACAAGTAAAATAATCGGTTTGTTGATGGACATGCACTTGTTAATGCTGATAGTGAGGAATTACAGTTGCAACATCTCATAATGTACCTCAAACTAAGTAGCGTATCACTGAGAAACGTCCTGCTCAAGTTTTATTATTATTATTCATTACATTTATATAGCGCTTTTCTAGGCACTCAAAGCGCTTCACATGGAAGGGGGAATCTCCTCAACCACCACCAATGTGCAGCATCCACCTGGATGATGCGACGGCAGCCATAGTGCGCCAGAACGCTCACCACACACCAGCTTACTGGTGGAGAGGAGACAGAGTGATGAAGCCAATTGGTATATAGGGATGATTAGGAGGCCATGATGGAAGTTGTCCTTGCGATGGAGGTTTGGGTTGAATGAATAGTTCTTCCAATGTTTCATCATCGGACTTGCACTCGCATTGGTATGGTAAAATCGACGTCATTGTTCGTTACTGTCTTTAGTTTACGGTGTTGGAAGCCTCAGGACAAGCAGAGCTGACGTTATGGCAATGGGCGTTTTTGTTTTCGACGGGTAAGCCAATCACAACAGACTGAGCTGTCTGGCCAATCAGAGCAGAGTTGCTCACGGAAAGGAGGGATTCATCTGACGAGTCGTTTGAGAATCATTGAAAATTTGGTGATGTGCAAATGTATATTATGAGGAAATGAAACAGTTTTTTGACCTTTGATGCATGTAAACCTGTTGTTGGAGACTCCAAAACAACATTAGGAAACTTTAAAATAGCATAATAGGGGCACAAAAGCTATCTTTGTGAATAAACTTGTCGTCCTCGCCTTGTGGTGGCTTGGAATTCAAAGAGGAATCGGATATGTGTGTTTAGACGTAGGTCTGATGTCCAGATATCGGATATGTATCTGATTTAAAACCACATTTGGAAGTGGCTCAGGTCGGATGCGAAAAAATCGGATCTCGTGTGGATTTTTGTATTTACACGTGTGCAACAAATTCCGATCTGTGTCAGATGTGAGTAAATTCGGAGATCGGATTTTCTGTTCCTGTGTAAACGCAGCCATAGGGTATCTTAAGAAAAGTGATGCGTTTGTGTAAGAAAAATATCCATATTTAAAACTTTATTAGCTATAATAACTAGCTTCCGGCAGATGACAATACGCATACTGCGCAAGTCGACTTGCGTCACAAGAGTAACCCCTGACGATTGGATGGATGCACTTTTTTGGGCTTCAAATTTTGACCTCCCATTCACTGCCATTATAAAGCTTAGAAGAGCCGTTTGTATTCGTCTGAAAGAAGAATGTCATATACACCTTGGATGGCTTGAGGGTGAGTAAATCATGGGGTAATTTTCATTTTTGGGTGAACTATACCTTTAAAACTCATCTTTGATCACCAAAATGACATATGTAAAAAAAATATATATATCCTGTGAGAAAAATGTATTCATGCCTTAAAATAGCTTGAATGTAACTACACCCTTGCTTCATTTAGTATGGGTCCATGCAAATTAGCCCCGCCTCCACTCACTCGCTCAGATCGTTGGACGTCGTTTGTCTCTGCAGTGAGCACCACTTGCAGAGATCCACTCTCTCAACTTTACTATAGTAAACGTTGCACAATGGCAAGTGGAAATACTGGTTTAATTCAGCCATATTTGTTTGAACCAGAAACTGATTCAGAAGAAGTCGAAGAGTGAATTATACAGATTAGTATACAAGTCTGTATGTATCAGAATGGTGATGCGTTTAATGTATCGCTCTCTACAACGTCGGACACATAACGGTAATTAATATGATTAGCCTTTTGCTTGACTATGTTATCAAACAGATAATAATGTGTTTCTAATGTTACACAAACCATGTTACCTTTCGCCAGCTCAGAGTCAGACAGCTCCCTTCTAAAAATCAGCATCCTTAGAAACGCTTTTAACAACTTAGAACGTCAGTGGAGAAAGGCATATAGTTCATCGTAACATCGTAATATACATAAATTACCCACTATATTGCTAAATGTACCCGATTTTCATATCCTAACCTGGCTTCTCTTGAGGCTTCTCTTGAGACTCCCCTGCTTTGCAGCATAGTTAATAATATGCTAAAGCCCGCCCACACGTTGACGTGATTGGTTACAAGGTAGTTACTTTGAAACACTGGCAATTTCTTTAGACTCTTTTTTTCACTGCAGTTTTAAGGATACAATACTTAGTAATGGTGTTGACTTATGAATTTGCACATGGTTTATCTTAAATTATATTAAAAACACTACATAGACAACATTAAAAACTTGATTTTCACCACAGGGGGTCTTTAAGATAAGGTGGAGAGATCTTATTGTGAATGATTAAGCAAATTATTTAATCAAATGCCGTAACTTTTTTTTTTTTTTATGGTAAAAAAAAAATCTGACTTTTCTCTGGTGATTTATGCTCACATTCATTTTTGAGTGTAATGACCACCAAAAAAATCTAATCAAACACCGATGACAAAACAGAATAGAACTCCGTTCTACTTAATATTTTTCTTTTTTGATCTGTTACATTCGGATGTACATCACAATATGGAAGAAAATATCTGTTGCTACTTTCGTTTCGTTGCAACTTTAAGTAGCCTAGATAGTCTATCACAGACAGCACATCATTATGAATGATTAAAGGAACACTCCGACTTTTTGGGACTTTAGCTTATTCACCGTATCCCCCAAAGTTAGATAAGTCCATTAGGGCTGACTTCTAATAGTCGAGGATTCGACGATTCGATTCGGAGAGGTCTGATTCGACTATGAACCTCATAGTCGAATAGTAGGGAAGTGTTATGTAACCAATAGGGGTGTGACGGTTATTATATAACCGTGAGACCGACGGTTATAGTTGAACACCGTCATTAGAACTCTATAACCGCCAAAACCGTGCTATTAAAATATTTTTTACAAACATTTTTTATCATAGAGAATGTTTAAATACTAATATCATCTTACGAGGGAAACGGAGACGGAGTTAGTGGTGCTTCGGGGGCTGAGTGCTGTAGATGATTCGGGAGAGGTCTGTGCCCCTTTACCGATCAGAGCGCGCGCTGACACGGAGTAAAGCCTTGTTTATACTCGACGCGTCCGCACGAGCGCGAAGGTGCGCAACTGCGCACGGCAAAAAATGACGCGTTGGGTGCGCAAGACCGGCAAGACCCCATTTCGCTTGGCTGTGTGCACGGCTTTTTTTGTAACAGCGCGCGCGACGCCGCATCCGAGGATGAACGACTTCAAGCCGAATCTGCCCGAGCATGTAGGCTACGTCTCACCGCACCGGCACACAGTTTGCGCGTCTAAATTGCAAAGTTCATTGCAAAGTTTTTTTAAGGTTTTGTTTACTGTGTGTGATTTATTTAAAACAAAGCACGTTTTGGCACGTTGTTGTTTTTGAAGCCAATTTGTTCCTATTTTATGTGAACTTTTCTGATGTTTGATATATGTGTGATATGTTTTGTTCATCTGGCTTTAAATGAATAAAAGGTATTTGTTACACATGTTTAGTTTTGACATGTTTTTCTTTTAGTTTTTTTTTAGCTCTTTTGTTTGAAATGGAAAAAATCTAGCTGCTATCTAAAAAAAAAAAAGTTCGACTATCAGTCGACTACGGCAAAATCTAACGAATCAGATTCGACTATGAAAATCCTTAGTCGAAAACAGCCCTAAAGTCCATACATACCTTTTTCATCTCCGTGCGTGCTGTAACTCTATCTAACGCATCCACCGCTAGCCTAGCTTAGCACAAAGACTGGATGTAAATGGCTCCAGCTAGCATACTAATCTAGAATATAGTTTACGTATATACGAGAATATAGTTCCCAATATTTATACGGTTAAAAGATGGCTGTGTCTCATATGACCTTGTTATTTGTACACTCTGTGACTATACAAATCACAACATGTAAATAGGAAAATGTTTGCGTTATTTTGTCACTTATTGGGATTAGTATGCTAGCTGGAGCCATTTACATCCAGGGTGCTTCTCAATATCCCTCCTCGTCTCCTCGCTCCTCCGTCCTCCATCCTATGACCCGGAAACCGATCGAGCTCAGCCATCTTGAAGGACATCTCAATTCTCTAATTGCACCGCGAGGAGGCGAGGATCGAGGAGTGAGGAGGCTTCCAGAGGAGCTATGAGCGAGGATGCACAGTTGCATGCTTTGCGGAAGTGTTTTATCGACTAAACGTGACGCACGTATCAATTCTCCTCCCCCTTCACGTCGGTCACAATCATTTTAATTTATACTTTACCTTTGCAGTTTATATAAACCACACATCTCACATATTTCAACAGGGTATCTTACTTTATTATTATTTATTACTAATTTCTTAAATAACCAAAATTCTACAACATAAGGGCAGATCCTTTGAGCGCTGCTGATGACGCAGTGAAGTGACGCTCGAGTGGTCAAGTATTCCAAAGTATTAAAAAAACATTCCTTCGATTCCTCTGTCCTCGTTTTCTTTCCTTGCAGCCTTCCTTCGCATCCTGCAGGGGGTGGACCTGAGACGCAAGGAAAGGAAACGAGGAAAGGAAACGAGGATGCACAAATAAGAAATGAGAAGCACCCCCAGTCTTTGTGCTAAGCTAGGCTAGCGGTGGGTCCGTCAGATAGAGTTACAGCACGCACGGAGATTAAAAAGGAATGTATGGACTTATCTAACTCTGGGGGATACGGTGAATAAGCTAAAGTCCCAAAAAGTCGGAGTGTTCCTTTAACTTTATTTGCAAGAACTTTTCTCCCAATACAGTCTTGGTGTCACAGTTACACTATGTTTAGTTTGTTTTAGTTTTCATGGACATTCAGTTTGTTTTCATTAGTCACATGTCTACCTTTGTTTGATTATCCCGCCACTTCTTTGTTACGGTCACGTCATTATGAGTTTGACGTGTCAACTTTGCAGTCAGCTTTATAGACTGCAATTTTTCTGTTAAGCCTTCATCATCGCTGCTTCCAGACAACATTAGGGACTATATAGACTGTTATTTATTCATTTCATTGACCTGCAGGGACTGTGTCATTCTCACTGTGATCCTGTCAAGTTTCATGTTACCACCATCACCGCAAAGTTCAGCCAGTCCTCCAGCCCCGCCACTACTGGAGGTTTACAGCCCTGTGACGTTGAGCCGCAGGTCGTGTAACCACCAGCAGCGCCAATGCAAGAGGATACTGCGGCTCCTCCTCCGGCCTCTGTTCCCTTCTCTCCATCTCAGTCCATAGACCTGTCAGCTCAGCTTTGGCTCCTCCCACCTTCAGCTCCACCGGAGACCCTCGGCATTGCGGGTCCACTGGGTTCCCTCATCCCGTCGGCTCCCCCTTGGTCAGTCGTCACTCTACTTCCATCACTTCTGCATCGCCTCTGTCCTCTGTCACACTGGCTCCGCCTCAGCCCTCGGGTACTCTGGCACCGCCTCCGACGCTTGTTGCCCCGGCATCACCTAGGTCTCCAGTGCCAGCGATGTCGCTTAATTCCATCGGCCTCATCTCCTTCGGTCGTCCCCCAGATGTCAGCAGCCATAACAACATCTTGGCACCTCCCTCCCTCGACTCCGCCGTGGGCTGTCGGCACTGGTGAGCTCTGTGTCTGTGCCATCGGACTACCTCCATCTTCGCCACCAGGGGATCATCGTCGTCCACTTACCACCATTCCTCTGTCACGGCCTCCTGCCACCATCCCTTCACCACATCCTCTTGCCATCCCTTCGCCACCCCCAGAGCCCCCACCTTCCCCCTCCTTGTCTGCTGTTATGGTTGCACTTTTTCGGAGGGGGCATAATGTCACAGTTACAGTATGTTCAGTTTGTTTTAGTTTTCATGGACATTCAGTTTGTTTGCATTAGTCACGTGTCTTCCTTTGTTTGATTTTCCTGCCACTCCTTTGTTACCATGGTCACGTTTGTTTGTTTCAGCTGTGTATCGTTAATTACCTTTAATTGTGTCAGTACTTAAGTTCCTCCTTTTCCTCTGTTTGTTGTCCAGTCACTCTTATTTAGGGGCTGTTTACATGACACCGGTTTTAACTAAAAACGTGAAACTTTTTATGCGTTTTGGCCGTTCATTTAAACGACAATGGCGTTATGGGTGCCTGAAACCGCAAACTTTTGAAAACAGGTTCCAAAGTGCAAGTGCAAGGGTAAAGGGTCTCTGAAGACAATGATGTCATGCACATGCGTATTACGTGTTCAGTCTATAGTATTTCATCGCCATCTAATGGCCTGGCAGCAGAATAAAGCGTTTTTAGTCTTTTTGCGGATCCGTGTAAATGGGGATCGTTTTGACAACGGTGTCGTCCGTGCGTGAAAAACTCAATGGAAAAACTTCTCCGTTTTAAGCATATTGTTGTCGTGTAAACGTAACCTTACTGTGTGTTGCTTTACCTGTTTGCCTGTCATTTGGATTCTTATGATTAAAACTTTGTGTTGGAACTCTCTTCTTCATCTTCGTCTGTTTGCCTGCCACCACCTGTGACACCTGGTGCTCTCAGTACTACTGATGATTGTTTTTCTTCTGGCACTTCTGAATTATGCTGAGAACATTAAACCAGATATTAACCACCACTGCAACCTGAAATGGTTATTATTAAATATTTTAATCACTTCTAGACAGCTGTATTGGCTATATCTCTGATTTATTTAATGTTTGCAAGGGCAAATCATAAAGCTCAGATACACACTGCTCTGCATGAGCTGGACAGTGCTGGAAGTGAAAGGATTATAAATATTGAGTGTTAATGGAGCTGATGAATTAATAACAGAAAATAAATGGCCCCATGCTTTCCAAAACAGAGATTTATCAATCATAATAGAGCCATGCAAAAAGGCATTCAATTAAAATTACAATAGTGTTAATGACTAAAAAAATCCCTCCACCTGGTCAAATTATTATGTAGAGTATTTTCATAACAAACAAACAAAGAAACCTTTTCTGTGTATTTCCACATTAACTTTATTGTCTCAGAAAAACAATGCACACGGTAGAGACATTGACATGATTGACTGCTGTTTTTCGTAGAATTGCCTTGCTGGCTTGTTAAGGCATGGCCTCACCAGTTCACTGTTTCAGTATTGCTTATGGGTCAATTGCAATGGGTCACATCAGATTTAAGTAACAGTCTTTCAACGAACTAGGCTTCCGAACATCACGTTTAGGTCTAGTGGTATGAGTGTATGTAGTTGAGTTGTTGGTGTGCATGGAAATGCAGTGAGATGGGAAGCATTCCATGTCTTTCCATAACTAAGAACGTATACATCCACCCCAAGTCTTTTGGCAACTGTGAGAGCATCAGTAAACTTTCTATGTCCCTCAGGAGCAGATGGCAAAATAGACAGCCTTGTGCGCATTTGCCTGCTATAGAGGAGCTGTTGCCATACCAGTTGCACCAAGTGTCAAGGTTGTAAAGTATCTGGTCAGGTTTTGGGGAATATGTATTCAATAATTAATAATTAATAATTATTCATACGGGTTTGAACCAGATAATTATACATGTTAAATCGCCCAAAGAGGGAGAATATGTGTTACCTGCATCTGCATTCATAGATATACATAGACAATTAACCACAAAGGATTATAATCAACTGCATATCTACACACATTTTACAGACAGGTTAAAATTAGCTCAATTGTATATCAATACTTAATCAAAACGGATTATAATTAAATATTAATATATCAATTATGTCTATCGTAGATCGATTGTCAGAATAATATTTGAGAGGATTAATTTATGATCGAATCATCTGCTTGTCCCGCAAGCCTGATCAGTCGATCTCCATCAAACCTCACAAAATGATCTTACTTTATAGACTTTCAAGGGAAGCTGTTCCTCTGGCCACGAGGATCAACTTTCCTGTTTAATAACGATACCTTTTTATTTATTTATTTTATTTATTTATTTATTTAACAGGGACCATTCAGTCAAACATAGTCACAATACAAAGCCTGTAACTGATGCGCAGCATATAGAGTTTGTAGCTAATGCTAATTTTCAACTCCTGTCCCTGGTTGGGCATTTCTAAGTACATTATAAATAGATACATACAAATAGAAAACATTCACATTTCTTCAAACACACACACAACCAGAAAAATAACAATGGTTAAAAATGGTTACATTTTTGGTTTGCCTTTAGCCACAACTTAATCCTGAAAGTGAACTTTTTCAAGTCAGATATGACCTTAATGTCAGATGGTAACGAATTCCAGAGTCTAGAGCTCTTAACAGAAAAGGCTGTCTGTGCGAAGCTTGTCCTACAGTATGGTATTGTACAGTTATGATTTGTGATGCTTCTGGTAACTCTTTTGCTGTTTTGTATTTGAATAAATTTACTAAGTGGCTCGGGTGCTAAATTATTAATACACTTGAAAATTAATTAAAAAAAAACATAAATCACTGATGCTTTCAAAGCTTAATATATTATATTTCTCGAGGATGTAACAGTGATGGTAACGGATTGGCTTTTTATCCATAATTTTTATTGTTTGATTGTAAAGTGAA